CTTGCTATCATTAACTATAAAAATGATTACACTCAAACGAGAGTGTATTTCTTTTAACTACCATGTATATAGATAGATTTAAATATGGAAGAACGTTGTATGGAGAGTTGATCAAAAGAATACTACCATAGGATTTTGGGAACGGGTACTACAAGGAGCGTCAAACGATGCAAATTAGATATCTGTGAAGGGTTCAGAAAAGAAAAAGTAAATAAAAAAACCTCCTAAATAAAAAATGTTATCAAGTAATTATTACGTTATAAATACATTTGTATATAAAATATCTAGCCAGTTATTTTTTTCAATAACGTTGTCAATATTAGTGACCATGGATGCCCCTCCGTTAAAAGAATTCTAAAAATGGTTTTGTGATGTGTTTAAATCATTCTCTGTGATAGCATGGTGCATGCGCTGCTAAGAATATACATTCAATAAAATGTTAAATGGTTTTATGTAAGAAGAAAAAGAATAGAGAAAAATGGAGATGGTTAAATAAAGTAGATATTTACAATTTGTTTCAAAATGCGTACATAATTGTTAACAAATACAAGAGGAATTAAAAAAAAGAGAAATCAGGTTAGTTAAGTGAAATGATTTCTTCTTACGGGTATGAGTGTAGGTTGGGGCTCTTACTTATTTTTATACAAAGTCTTATTTTCACCAAGTTTACAAGTTGAGTAAGGGAAAAATTCGAAATAATTCTTTTCAGTTTTACGTTGATCAGAATTTTAAAATGAATTTAGTACAAAAATGATAAATAATAAAGTGGTACGTTGAAATAAAAAAAGGTTAATAATACTATTGTAACAAAAAAAATTTTTTTCCATAGTCTTGTTATAATCGATACAACATGACAAAATTTGACTTTTTTCTTGTTACTACACGATTATCTTGTTTAGTTATTACTCTTAAAGAAATGTTATGGGCTATACATTTAAGTTTTTTCTGTTCTGTTTTTATGTTTGTTTTATTTGCATACTTAAAAAAGTCTTTTTTGTCTGCCACTGTGAGTAGAAACGTACTTTTTGTCCGTGAAATAGTGCATCGACCCATTAGTTGATGTCACTGCCTTCCTGCACTACCTTTATCTTTTGGATTATTCTTAAGACGAATTAAACGAATCCATGACTTCCTCTAAGTTTTGTATACGCGTTCTCGTTCTTATAATTTCATCACTATTACGTCAATATATCTTTATACATACAAAGCGGACACACTATTACTTTCATATGTATTCATAAAAAATATTAATGTTTTTGAAACTGCAGTATACATTACTGGTATCAGATACCATACATTGTGAAAAACGTGTTTTATCTACCAATATCCAAAAGCTGTGGAAAATAATTGCAATAATCGTGGAGGTATTAATCACAGATCTTGTGGTTCATTTAAAGCTGTACAATTTTTAAAGTAAGATCATAAACCGAACGTCACTCATTAAAGCTTAAATAACAGTATGAAAAATATTGTTTGATAAACAGAAAATCTTAATTTAGTTCTAAAAATTCTTTTTCAGGAAATATATTTACACACTCTAATGTACAATGTAAAACTTAGTTATATTGTTAGCTAGTAATAAAAATCGCATGTTATTTCTGTTGCTTACGCTTCTGATTGAAACAAAGCAATTAGGACCTCTAAATTTTCTCTAAAAAATATTTATACACATCTACGAAAATAGTTTTAGTAAAAAATTTAGATGTAATAAAATAAATTGGTTTTTTAAAGTAATTCAGCGATGTATACTTACCATTATCATTATATTCCAGATAACCCTCTTGAATAAACTTTGATAGAGAGATCTTGAGCCAGGATCGATTCTGCTCCTCTTGTACTGCGAATGTTATGTCTTTGAACAACTTTAAAGAGTAATGAAAAACAAAAGTCCAGTAGCAGTATTTATTTCTTATTATTAGTAGATCCCTAAATTATTGACTTAGAATCCCAATGAATCACATTTAGTGAATCTAATCTACTACTACACGCATTAAGGAATGAAACCAACGGTTGAATCTATAGACACTAACCCGATGAGTCCTTTTTAAAATTAAAGTACAGAGCAGGATATCTTTGTACCACTGGCTTGAAATATGATTCAGTGAGTCCTATCAAATATCCAGTACCTACTAGAACAGTTTTTTCTGTGATACATATAAAATGTAATATTTTATGTAATTTATAATTCAGAGAGTTTCTTATAAATTTAAATGCTTTATTCCATGTGATAGCGACTTAAAAGAAACAAATAGTAGATAACTTAATTTATGATAAACGGTTGTATATTACTAGTCAGCAAAGAAAGAGAAAAAAATTTCTTAAACATGTATCTGGATTTTTAAACCAGAAGCTCTTACCTGATAAATTTTCTCTGCTGATAATGTATGAAGTATAATATCTATACATCACTTGTAAGATGTCGTTCTTGTCACGCCAACTTGAATATGTTTAGTAATTTAAGGTTTAAAAACAGTTTTCGTAAATTGGAATAGGTCATCATACCCGATTGCATGTAATATTAAAAAATATCACAAACTCATACCAGAGTACCAAATAGTTAACAGTCAAAATGAAAAAATGCTGCAGAGTAAGCTTTTGAACACAAGGTGATAAGCACTTTTAAATATACACGCTCATTTGGTAGTTACTAATATTCTGAGCATCTTTACATGTAAAATTCCACTTTTTCATCTAACAAGTAGCTACTATATAAAATTCTATGACAAAAATTTTTCTCATAGTTTTTATCTCGATTTGCGATACCCATTCAAGAGGGTGGGTACATGCGATGCTGAAGATTCTCTGTAGATTAAGTAATACTTGAAACATGAAAGTCAATGGACTTTTTTTAATAGCATCAGAATTAAATTGCTTTTTGCTGTTATCTGCAACATTTTTTAATATAGCTGATCGTTAACACTTAAAGCTGTACCTCAAAATGTAACATATAAGTGTACATTTACTCCAATACCATCTTTGTGGGGTAGCATTTACTGCACGCCCAAGCGCACGAATCTACTTTTCAGAGCAGTAGAGCTACTACTTATGTACGATAGCAACATAAATTTTAGCATGCAAGAGAACTTTTAAGCGTAACCTCGGTTTTCTTATAATTTTTATCTCGATTCATAGTACTATTTTATGAATGTAAAAATATGTTATTTTAAATACCTTTTGTGTGATACTTAAAACATAACAAACAATAGACTTTTTCATGGCATCAGAAATTTACTGTGATTTGCTGCCTCCTGATACTACCTTAAGTATAGCTGATAGCTAAGACTTTTATATTCTACTCGTAGTAGCATATGTTCTAACAGTTGTGTATAAGGCTTCAGAACAGTCAAGATAAGAGAATATGTAAACAATTATTGTCTTGGTCTTGACGTATTACGTCTCGGACTTGTCTTGAGATCCTGTCATTTAATTTTAGAATCATTTAAGCCATATATATTTATTATAAAGCAACAGAAACGCAACAAAATTTAATATTTGTGGAAGTACTAATAGACAAAAATTATGTTGTAGTAATATTGAAATTATTTTAAAATATTTTTGTAAAATATATACATAACGTTCTGATTATTTATTGAAACGTAGTCCAATTTTAGTTAATTTTGAATTTTACTTACTACTTTTCATTAGACCTTGATCACATTGATGTAAAATAAAAAGTAAATAAGTACGTTTAAGAATTATTGAAAAACCAATATTCTTAAGGAAACGATTCTTGGTATTGTCTTAAAATTTTAAGCTGTACCTTGTCTTGATCTTGTCTAGAAATTCAAGACAATATAGGACAATATCAAGAGTATTCTTAAAATCTCATAAGGCCCTACTTATTTAAACATTTTCTCTGAAGTGTATTATTCAGTATTTATGCGTATGTTCTGTCGTAGTAAAACTACTGCTTATCTACAACAGTAGAACGGAAGGTCCGTTTTATGCTTTAAAAAAAAGCTGTCAAGACGTTCGTATAAGAAGGTTACTAGCCCATATTTTAATTGACTGCTTTCAGCAAAAAAAAATTGTTATAAATGCTTTTCTAGATTTACTTTTGGAATTAAATCTCATGTGAATATTTCTAACAACACATCAGCCTACTCCTTAGTCTTCTATGATAACATTATTCAGTACAGTTTAACAAGTAGAAATGTGAAAAGACTCATGTAGAGTGTGGTAAGTGGTGAGAATGAAAAATTTTTAAGGTACTAATGAGGTAGATCACTATAAAAGAAACAACAATCAGAAGATAAGCTTGTTTATTTTCTACCAACTCTAGAGAAAAGGTCCGTACGTGACATTGACTGACTCAAAGTAACTTTTAAAGCACCTTTAAATATAAAAAACATACATCAACAGTCAATGATCAATCTCAGATACAAATTTTAACAATAAATCTCTTTACGTACAAAAAAAACAAAAAATTGAAATAAATGGATCGTATAGTTGGTATATAGGACTCTAAACAGCTTTTAAATAACTTTTTATTACAAGAGTTACATAGTAGTTAATGACATTGACATTCAAGCAACCACTTTCTTGAAAATGGCTTATAGAATAATGGTTTGGCAGTGATAATTTAATGAAAAAGTAAAACGCTGACTGTACCTCGTCGTGAGAGCGTGGTAAAGAAGAAAGATTTCTACTGTAGTAACAGCAGGAGCGCATTTTTAATACAAAGCAAAGTCATTTCTGCCGCTCCGTACAACGAGGTCAGTATAATGCTGTAAGAAATACCCCCCTTCTAAATAACAGATTAAAGCTGGTACAAGACTATCCCTTGTTGGTACAAGACAACGGATAGTCTCGTACCACAAGGCCTGACCCCGTACCTCTGTAAGTAGAGTGGCCCCGTACCCCCATAAAGTACGTACTACTAAGTGTAAATTATGTTAATTAATATTTGTTAGAGATTACTATCTTGAAGCTTAAGAAGACAATATTTGTTTTTATTTATTAAGAAAATAATGAAAGTTATTACTTATTTCTTATTCCAGAGATTCATCGAGCACTCGAACTCTTAAGTGATTACCACGCAAGATTAACAAAAATACAAGAAAAGCAGTTAATCATCGAGATCGAGAGATTAATACGCATTTTTAAAAGTCGATTCTTTCAAGCACTAATTGGTAAGGTATACAATATACATGTCAATTGATAAGAAAACATAAGTTAAGTAGTTAATTGGTAAAGATATAATCTAGTACAAAAAGAATTAGATTAACACTAATTAAAAAAAAAAAATAAAACCACACATATACATAGCATACACAAACATGTCATTGAAGTACATTCATTTACAAAAAGTGGCGTTTATGAGCCTTACAAAACGAGACTACTGTAAAAAGGTGCTTTTATAGATAATGTGCTACCTTGTTTACATGTTAATTAAATGATTGACACATTTATTACTCACAGTTCACGTAATTCATGAAAAAAAATTTTTTTACAGGAAACTTCATTTGACGCGTTCTAAAATAAACTATTATTGAAATAAGTGAAATGAACAGTTAAGGCTGCACAGTGAAAAATAAAAAAAAAATAACACTGAGGTCATCTATTTGTGTTGATTCGAAAAAAATAGCAGCCGTGATTCTATTGTTACGTCGTAGCTTTTTGAGGTAACTTTAGCGCACGAGAACTTAAAAACAGCATGCAACACGTTGATAGCAAATGCGTTTGTGTTAAGCAGTGTTTGTTAATTGTTAGCAAACTTTATTGGATCACAAATAATATAATGATAAATTAGACAATCGGGCGCTTAATAATATAACTTACCATAGTTCATATTAGCTACTTGCTTGTTGGTTGACAGATTCTTGAAGGAAGAGGATAAGTTCGCAGGGTGCAGTTCTATTTAAACTCTCAATTGGATTGATAATTGAGGGTACGACCGGTGATGAGTCAAGGAGTAAAGGTTAATTTAATTAACATATTCTTGGTAAAAAGGTGCAGCTGCAGGCATAAGCCAGATGTTGAATTTTGCGGGGGTGAAGTAAGGAAGCAGAAATGGCTGGTGAGCACGTGATTAACTCAGCGTGCATTAGTATCGATTAATGGGTGTAATAGCGAGGTGGCAAATACCAGACGGTATTTGTTACCGAAAGTGGGTAAACGTCACTAAGAGTGATACGCCCTCCCCCTTAGTTTTTACTCGCCAGGCGAGTTCTTGCCTGGTAAAATTGGCTCGTGCTTTGAAAATATAATTAAAATGTAGCTAAGGTTATATTCGCATGAAATATTCTCTTTACATATTAGTACTTCATTTTATAATGTGAGCTAATAGCTAACCATTATTTTAATTCCTAATGATACAGTTAATAATGTGCAGCGTTTCTTATATATTGTTATTATATTTGTTTATTTATTTCTTATGTTGTTTTTGTGTTGTTGTCTTGTTGTTGTTTTTTTTGTGAGTCCAGTTTTTGATGTTTGCTAACTCGTATTTTGAATTCAATCCTTTTTTTTGTGTTTGTGTAAATATTTTTTTGTTTATTTTTTAATTTTTTTTTCTTTTTTTTTCGTGTCGGCTATTTTTTGTTTGTTTTTTGTGTGATGATTTTGATATTTATTATTCGGTTTTGTTTATTATCGTCATTTATACATTTGTTATTCATATTTATTGGCTGAAAGAAAAAAAGGATTCATTTACTTGTGTTACCCATATTTCTTAATTCTGGTGAAACGATGACTATGGTGCTAAGCTGATGGGGGTCCTTCGCAGTTCCAGCAACACTTTTGGTTAAACAGGTTCCTTAAGTGCTGTTCGTTAGCACATTTGAAGAGGCACGCAGTTTGGATGTCCTACAAACTATAATTCACATACCTGTTGTAACACTGCGCTCATGATCTCCAGATCTGTAAACCTTCGTTACACTCCAGGCATTTCCCGTAGTTGGGGCTGTGGGCAAGGCTGCTACTTCTACCAAAGTCACCTTTATACAGTAGTCCGCCATATGTTATTCTCTGCGTGTTGGCTGCTGCTAACTGTTGGCAGCGCAACTCGTACGCGTTGTTTCAAGAATTACTCGATAACGCGTTTTTCTCCCGATGCATAAGCTAGCTGTTAAGCCCTCGTTTTATTGCCTTGTTTAGAGCAAAGCTTCACCTAGTGTCTCTAATTGTCTTCCTGAAAGACTCCTGTTTACACAGTAGTTCATACACCACAAAATGGATGTTGTTTTTAAATGCCTCTATCGGCAGATTTTTTTCCTCACGATCAAGTCGCTTCAAACCGTACTTAAGGGTCCAAAGAAGCTCTTGGTCCTAATATTTATCTGTAGATATTTTTATTAGGTTAGTCTTTGCAGATGCTAGCTTTTTTCTCCTGTTTACTGTTTTGGCCTTAATTCTTCTTCTTTGCTTGTAACCCGAACATGATCATTTCTGTAAGAGTAACAAGTCATTGATTCATTTCTACGTTTTTTGTCCAAATTATTGCAACATTGATATCGATCAAGTAATTAAAAAATTTGTTTTTGGACTTAGTTAGGAGATTTATTTATCTCTTATTCTATGTTAAAAAGGGTTTGTTTTTTTTTTTCAACCTGTGTTTCTGCGTTTTTAGTATAGATGGCTAAAGATTAGATTCGGGGCTTATGTACTATAGGTGTTCGAAATTAAACTCAGTAAAATAGTGGACTGTATAATTTATATCGCACGCCGGATTTGGGGGAGCGTGAAAAGGATGTTAAAAAAAGACACAATAATAAATGCACTTTATTTGTGCAAAAGCAATTTATTTGTGTAAAATACTTTACTATTAAGTTGAAAACAAAAAAATTACCATCTACTGTTCGAAATTGAGCTCAGTAAGATAGTGGACTTTATGATTTATATCAAACGCCAGATTTAGGGGAGCGTGAAAAGGATGTAAAAAAAAGGACACAATAGTAAATGCACAACACACTTTAAACACTTTAGCCGTTTATTATAAAAAAATAATCTTTATTTAATTTTACTTTAACAAGTCACAATGCTTGCTTGCAAGACAAAAAAAGGAAGAATTAATTTGTGAGTCAGACGGAGAAATAACGTGTCAATCGAAAATGTCAATCGTTTTTCGTTACAGAAATCTTACATAAAAACGATACACGTTAAAATTATAAACACGAGCGCAAAGCGACTTACCGAAAAGGGCGTTCGAGGCTGACTGACGATAACCGCAGTAGCAGCAAGCTGCTGGACATAGGTAAGTACAAACAGAGTCTATTGGTGTATTAATAGACGCGTGCACGCTTATGATTGGCCCTTATAGGTAAGAGAATATCCTAAAGCGCGAGATTTCTAATCTCATGAACTAAATTTTCTATTTACATTAGTACAATGTTACTGATGTTGCACATAGTCCCAAGGTTAATTGACAGAAATGTAATGAATGTACATTCATAACAAGTTTTAAAAGGACAAAAGGGTGGATCGCATTCAACTTACAAAAATTCGAAATAATAAAAGTTTTTTTTTTTTAATATAATGAGAGTCAGCCGGTAAAAATCAGTAATACTGATGTTTTACATAGCCCGAAGGTTGATGGACAGGTGGATGGAATAATATACAATTAAGTACCGTGTGGATAAAGCAGTGGAACGCTTTTAACGTACAATAGCAAATAATTCAAAAATCAAAAACAACATAATAAACAAATTACTGATAATTTTATAAATGTTTTCGCAAGGTTTGTGACCTTTAGATATGAGATTTAATAATAATAATAGTAAATAAAAAGAAAATAAATTGATCTAAATCAGACTTATTATTATTGTGTCCTGACTAAAGTTCAGATACGGTACGCAATAATATTAGTTTGTGTATTGCCCTTACAAAACTATATAAAACGGTTCTAATCTTGGCGACTCTGACAAAAGACTTGGCATCCTTATAGACTTCAACAACCATGCCTAAAGGCCATTTACCAGGTGGGAAAGACTCATTTTTTATAAGCACGAGATCACCAGGCTTAACCGAGCGTTGAGGATTCAACCACTTGCAATGACTTAGTATAGTGGAAAGGTATTCAAGTGACCACTTTTCCAGAAGACTTGAAACGATTGTGTCACTAGCTTCCAGCTTTAAGTGGCGATACCTTTTTAAAAGAAATATCGGGCTCTGGCACAAGAAATAAAGACCTCATAATCAAAAAATAAGCAGGAGTCAGTTGATTACGCTTAGAAGAATCATCATTAAGTTAGGCTCTCCTTAATCTACCCCTAACTCTTATCAATCCGCAGTTTTTAAACGGCGTAAGATTAAGCAAACGGCTAGATCAAAGTAGTAGTAAGCTATTTCTGAAACTACGATCTTGATTTTAAGTTAGTAACTTAAACTCAGTGGAAAGGTGACATTGTTGATGCTGATAAGCTAGACACAGTCTAGCACAATAAATTTCTAATGTTAAAAGGTGAATCGAGTCAACTTTAATAAAAGAATACAAGTCAATAAACTGCATATAGCCTGTAAAAGGAGCTCAGGATTTCCAGCTATAGGTAAATATGAATTCTTTTGTTAAACTTTATGTAAACAACGGTATGTAAAACGAAGGCAATATGCTGTTACTCTTAGCAACCGTTCCCACTTGAAACATCGAGTTAATAAAGTCATTAAAAAAGACTCAGATTTATTTACAAGACTATTTACGTAAGGCATTGAACTATTTACATTCATAGAGGTTGGAGCAATCATTTCTACTTTAAACTCTGAACAGTTAGGGTGCAAATCATGAAGAATTTTAGGGCCCCGAAACCATAAGATTTGATTTTTGTGACAAGTTGGATCATGAACCAAAGGGCATCTGACCCGATAACAACCAACCAATTTGCGAAGAAGAGGTAATTGGGTAGTCATGGGGTAATTTGCGAACTTGCTGACCGATAATAATTTTATGGACAGATGCATCTAACAAAATATCAATTTTATCTAAACTGTAAGATTCTGGTTCTGCTAGAATTACATCCTTCCCATAATCTAAATTTGCCAAACGACTACCTATAGGTGGTTCGTAGGAAGATATTTTGGGCACAACTAACGCTTCAACAAGGTGCTTAAAACCAGACTCAAAATGAGGCCTAAATTTGAAAGCAACTGATTTACTAGCGTCCGTGGATATCAGTCCACCCACTCCTGACAGAGTCGT